GTCTGCTTTATCTTCCTTTTTCTTTTTTTTCTTTTTTTTATTATTAACATATACAGTGCCATCACAAAAAATCTTTACATGGAAAATACGTGAAAATATTTAATTTACTGTACCCGCCCTAGAAAAGTAAGAGGAGCTAGTAATGGCATATCAGCTTCTGCCTGCCTGTCACCCATGTTCACAACTAATTTGGTTTTTGGTGGGCATTTTGAGGTGTTCGAGAGAGGGTTATCTCTATTACCCTGTTTGGCCCAGTTTTCACCTCCTTGGCAAGTTTGAGGTCCTATAATTTCACTCCTATTGCACATTATCCAGTGGATTGGAAGATGCTACAAGTGCAAGTTAAAACTCGTGTCTTGACTCTGCTAGAGAAAGGAGAGTCATTGATTACTGTGACTAGAGAGAGAGGCTATTTATCAACTGACGACAAGATCATTGTCACCTGTGATGGTACTATAAAGGAAGGCAGGATCTGGCGCACCCAAGAAGATATCACCAAGGACTGATAAGATACTCAAGTGTAAAGTGATGTCAGATCCTGCTACAACCATTGCTCCATGCAAGAATAAGTACCCTCAGCTTCTCCATACTGTTGTAATCAGGACCATTTGCCATCGCCTTCAGAGGGACCTGGATCTACCAAGTCACCATGATGATAATAAGCCAATCATCACAGAAGCAATGAAGAAGAAAAAGTTTAACTTTTAAAAGAAATTTAAAGAATGGACATCCAAAAAGTGGAAGAATGTAATATTTAGTGATGAGGACACTTTTATTGTGGTCCGAAGAGGTTCAGGGACTGTGTCTCGTTCGTGTACCACATCACGGTATGACCCGAAATATATGGTTTGAATGTGAAGCACCCTGAGAGTGTGATTTTGTGGGCTGAATTCAGTGTTAAAAAGGGCAGAGGACGACTGCATTTCCTTCCTGAAAACGTAACTGTGAAGGAAAGCTATTATATCAGTATTTTAGTGTTTTGGTATATTTGTGAGTTATATTGTTATGCATGATGTGACTATAACAATATCTTGTGATTACCTGATAATTCCCCTGACCTTAGCCCCATGGAGAATGCTTGGAACAACATGAAAAACAAGATTCAAGAAACAAGACCCAATGATATCAACAACCTAAATGAGGCACTGAAGATGCTGTGGTGTAACACAGACCCCACTTATTTCAGCAACTTTGTTGAATCCATGTCCAAAAAATTGTAGATAGTTATTAAGTATATGGGCATGACAAAGCATTGACTGGAGGAAAATATCTACAACAAAACTCATGAATGGTTGAATATTTTCTGTAATTATCCGTATAAAGATTTGTTTTTGCCAGTACTGTACACTGCCCTTTTCCTTTCTGATTTTATTGTCTCTTTATGTTATCTTCCTCTTCATATTCTGTTATTTAATTTTCCCAAGGTATCAAAATCAAAATATACATGTGTATGTGTAGTGAAATAAATAGAACAAATATTATTGCAAATCACCTAAACATTCCAGTGAGGATGAGATTGAGGATGCAGTGGATCCAGTCAACGAGTACCGTGATGAGGAGACGAGCCCCAAGACAGGTGGAAAGGCTTCCCTGGGTGGCAGTGGCATTGGTAGTAGAGGCAACTCCGCCCCAGTCAAGAAGTCGTCTAAACCCTCCAAGATGGTGGACCTCGGGGCTGCAGCCACCTTCGGCAGAGACGGAAATAGCACACAATCGCCACAGGTAGGGAGGCGAAGGGAGGCATATGAGGAAGTGTGGGGTAAAGGAAGGGAGAGAGAGTGGGTGAGGAATGAGGAAAGGGAATAACGAGAAATGGGAGAAGAGGAAAATATTTGGAGGGGGATCATGGGTAGCGAGGGGAATAAAATGTGAAAGGAGAAGGGTTGTGTTAACTCTTTTATTCTTTAATCAGAATTCTCTCAGTGTCACTGACTCCAGAGGCTTCTAGCAACCATTCTGCCAATTACCCTGGGAGTCTGTTACATGTAGCAGAAGTATCCCCTTGGCAAAGAATGAATATTAGATCAGGGAGGGCTAGGCTCTAAGGTTTAACTTCTTTGCTAAATGCAAGAGCCACAACCAGTGATTCCAGAGACTTAGATAGGAAAGGAACATCAGCAAAGTCTAGGTCTGTGACCTTGATATTGCCTAGTGACTTTGGATAGTAGCTCTACCCATTATCTAGTCCATACAGCTTTGCCTCAAGTTTGACAGGCCCACACCACACTTAGAGCACTTTCAGTACCAGTATATAGCCTTGTTATTAGGTCAATAATCTATGTTGGAATTCTCCATAGTTCCAAATGCATTCTTGAGGTTAATGTAGGCTTAAAGCAAGCCACGGCTAAACTCACAAAACTCACAATGGCATTCCACAATTACTCATAATGCTAGTATACAGCCTATTGTGGACTTGCCAAGAGTGAATCCAGACTGCTCTGATCTCTGGTGCCTTAGGTGGTTGCAGATCCATTTCAGAAGAATGTGAGTGAAAACCTTGCCTGGTACACTGAGGAGTGTATTGCCACAGTAGTTGCTACAATCTCTTTACCCTTCCAAAGAGGGAAGTCCATGCTCCTCAACAGGTCAGGTCAGGGAGAATGTAACCAGACTACCAGACGGCAGTCAAGACTGCATGCAAGCCCCATGCCATAGGTTCACCCCCAGCCTTTAGCATTTCAGCAGAGATATCACATATACCTGTGCCTTTCCCTCTCTTTAGCTTAGAAATTGCCTTCCTAACCTTAGTTAGGGTTGGAGGTTCCTCGCTGATGGGTGAGTCCGGCACAGGTAATGTGATACCAAATGCACCCAAAGTAACTGCTGGAGGGTCTACCTGGTACAGCTGCTCAAAATATTCAACCCAATGTTCATGAACCCCAACATGATCTGAGATGATCTGTCCACCCAGGAGTGGACTACAGTCATCTGTGAGGAGGACTTTAGAGTTCAGTTTTCTCAGGGCTTGGTAGGCAGGGCAAAGGTCATTTACCAAGAAATGACCTTAAGCCTCCTCATGAACTGTTCCTTGTCCCTTCTCATCAATGTCCAAGCCCTATGCACCAAGGAACGGCACAAGGCTTGATTGCCATTCGGCTAAGCTATGCGACATGCTTCATTGGCCTCCAGTTTCACCAGGGATATGAAATTCTGCCTTGCCCTCGGGCTTTCATTTCAATATAACTTAGAGGAGAAAGAGACAGGAAACAAAATTATAATTGATTGAAGGAGAAGAGAATAGGGGTAAGAGTGTGTCTGGAGGAAATTTGTTAGATGATACAAGATATATTAGTGGACATTAAATACATCTCATTGATAATGAAAAAGTCAAAACAAAGAAAAAGAAAACAGCACACTACTCTCTAACAGTCCCTGAATGGTGTCAAATAGGATTACCTGTTCATTATATAGGAAGCCATGTTCATGGGATAAAAGACTAAAGGGGGTTAAATGACTATATATGACATTTCTGTGGAAAGATTTTTAGAGTCTGTATTTGCATATCCTTCCCATAATGAAACATGGCCGTTTGATGATATTCATGTAGTATTTACATTAACCAAAATAGGACTGTGAGGCTATTCAATGACTAGGATATGCTAAAACTAAAATTTTCTAAAAAAAAATTATCATTTGTACAATGAGTGTGTTAACCCAATGCTGCCGGGGAAAATGAACAAATTTTTTTTTGTGAAAAGTCAGCCCATAGATGGCTCTGCTAGTGCTTAGCCTCAGAGGAGTCAATTAGTAGATCTTGGGACTGTACCTGATTTGAATTGGCAGGGAAAACATATATTTTTACTAGTGCTATGAATATTGATAGTGTTATTTTTATTATAAACATTATAATTATTATAATGTTTTTAACGTTAGTAATAACAAAATAAGATAATGTAAAATATTTTCGTAAATCAAAGAAAAGGGTAAATGGGCGAGACAGGCAGTACTCGTAACTGGCTCATTGGTGACTTAGTAGAAGTGTAGCCATCTATGGGTAAAAATAATGAAACAAGTGCTCACAGTGGGCATAGCACGTACGTAACGTCATGCCCGTCAGCATTAGGTTAAGGACAAGACAAACTAATTTTAGCCAAAGGGAGATAGAATATAGAATAGTTTTGTGTCCAGTATTCTCATATTTACAAAATCCTCTATTCCCATCCACCCCCAGACCACACCCTCAAAGACGAAGGCCCAAAACAATGACCTCCTTGATAACCTCTTTGGAAGCCAGGCAAGCAACGGGACCTCCAGCCCCTCCAAAACCTCACCAACTAGTGCAGAGGATGACTTTGACCCAAGGGCGGGTGAGGCAGGAGGCGCAGAGAAACCAGACTTTGGAGACTTCAACTCAGCTTTTGGCAATGCTACTGCACCAGCAAATGGGTGAGTAATAGGCTATGGTACCCTTTTGTGTGTGTATTTGTGCGAGCTAGTATCCACATAATCACTGAAGACATTTTTGCAATTTGTTGGGTAAGTCTCACAAAAGCTCATCTTCTTGTCTGCTCCTTTTCTCCCATCCCAGGAATAGTGATTTTGCTGACTTCTCAAACTTCAGTCAAACTACCCCAGAACCTCCAGGTAAGTTGCACTTGTAGGAAAATACCAGCCTTGTGTCTTGTAACTTATAATTTTTCTCTGTTGTTGTAAGAAGAGTGCATTTTTCTCTCAAATATTATTAAAACCTTTTAGACTCACACACTCACACACTCACACACTCACACACTCACACACTCACACACTCACACACTCACACACTCACACACTCACACACTCACACACTCACACACTCACACACTCACACACTCACACACTCACACACTCACACACTCACACACTCACACACTCACACACTCACACACTCACACACTCACACACTCACACACTCACACACTCACACACTCACACACTCACACACTCACACACTCACACACTCACACACTCACACACTCACACACTCACACACTCACACACTCACACACTCACACACTCACACA